GCTGGTTTTGTATTTGTATAAAGTCCACCTGGAATTTAGGCTACAAACCTTTTTGATTACTTTCATTTAATAAAAGAAAGTAGTTTGAAGACACAGCATTTTATTTACAGGGATTGCTGTGTCAAACAGTTATCTCTAGGAATGAACTGTTAACTGACTTCTCTTTATCAAGTATTTCTAGAGCCTCGGACAAGCCTGTTACAAGTATGCTCACTGCAATGGAGAGCAGCATTCTTATCCTCTTTCCTTTTCATAATGAGATCAAGAAAAACATTCATAAAAAAAAGTTAGTATCATTTTAATGCATAATACTGTATGTAATAATTTATTAAACTCAACAAAATGGCCTCAAAATCGTTTGTATACAGATAGCTTATGGACACATGTAACCAATATATGATCCAATTATGTGGAGCAGTGACTAAAATTTTCATAGCATCCATGTTCTCATTGAACCAATAACCTTGATAAAATATACAGGTATAAAATAATTTTGCAGAACAATAAGGACCCACAGTGTCCAAGGATATTAATTTTGTAACTAGAAATGGCACATGTTACCTAGCAGAATTTTAAATCTATTGTCACTTAATTGATTCTGGATGGCACTTGAACTCTGCTATGCTTATATGCCAGGAGTGTTACTCTTTTGCATTCTATAAATATTGTAAGAGCTGCAAAACCGTGAGAAATAGTTTGCATACATGATCATAACCAGCATTATAAATAAGTTTATTTTTCTAAACACAGGTCAAGTCTCTACTGGAATGTGTGGATAGTAAAGAGCCTGAATTTTGCAGCCCCAGAGCATTCAAAGTTTATTAAAAATCCCTACTTTATGAGGGAAAATATTTCTTCCAGCTGTAGACTCTGAATGCACTGACTGCATGCTCTGCTAAAAGCAGGCCATCCTTCTTAAGTCCCTTCCTCTTTGATGTCTGTTTTGTGACAATTCCTTAGAAGGGAATTCTGGTTTTCAGGTAGTTTATTTTTTACTAAAAATCCCCATTGGATTGCATCTCCTGTTCCTCATTCACCTTGAGAAGCTTTTCTCAGCAAACTTCTTGGTCTTTCCAAAGCGCCTTGCACCGTACTACAGTTTCACAGTAGATGATTAAACATTTCAGGCCTCCTAAGGAATAAAGGTGATCTGTTTCGAGTTCATACTCTCTGATATGCCTTGCTATTTGCCCCCAGACTAATAACACAGCGTTCCACCAGATTTTCCTGCCCCAACACCTTTCAGTTGCCTGCTGCTACACTTGTATCCCCCACATAAGCCTTCACTGAAATATTTTGGCTCTTGAACAAGAATGTGATTTTTGGAGCCCTCTCTCCTTCCCTAGCTTTCATTAGTTGCTCTCTGGAAGAGCTGCATTCACTGTTTTGGCAACAGATAGTTGGTTCTATAACAATTTTTATTGTGTTAGACTACATTGAAACAAATGTATGGGATATTGAAATTACCCAAGCCTTTCCACAGTCAACTACTTTTCTCTCTTTTATTCCTGTATGGTATTTTCTTTCTTCTATTTGTTTTCTCAGTTGGTGTTAGATCAAAAATGTCCTCAAAATATAATAGAAACATAGAAGAAACACCAAGTACCGTTTGTCTTTTCCTTTTTGTCTTGCATTTGCAGAACAAATTATGCTTGTGCAGATACCATGTAGCAAAATGAGATTAAAAAATCCTAATTCAACAAGAAAATGCTCTTTGCTGCTTGAAAACCCAGTGTGGTGTAGAGTGGATGGAATATAGACTATGTTTATTATTACTTATTTTACTAAACAATAACCTAAATATTTGGGAATTGCTAGCATTTCCCTTTCACTAGACAATTCTGGTTAACTCCTGCATATGCGTTGATGTGCCTGTACAGCAAGTTGCAGAAAAGACCCTGTCTAAGGACAACCCTTACTGAGATGCTTGAGTGCAGATCTGAAGTCTTGTTTGGTGGCAATGCTTGTAGCACCTGCATTCTGCAGTTAAGTTTACCTAACTGCTATCTTAGCTTAATACTGGGTATTACGTAAGCAAGGGGTGGAAACAATAGATATTCTTTTCTCTACGGCTGGCAAATGCATGAAGGATATTGTCCAGGCCTCATACTCTCAAGTATCCCAGAACAGTGAGTTTCCCAGAAATTGTAGGAAGCTGATGTGGGCTATTTATTTACAAGAATCACGTCCCACAGGCCCATGTTAATCGGAGGTTCATTGATACGTGGCAAGACAAGGGGAAAATTTACCTTAGCCCTAGATATTTTTCTCTAAGCTGTAATGATAGTTATGGTCTATACTGTATGAAAAGTTGTTGCGTGGAACGTAGAAGTTAAGTGCCTGGAGAACTGTACTGCACAAGAATGGTCAGTCCTTTCCATGGGTGAGGAAGGTACAGCTGGGTGCATGACTGCTTTTTCTCTGAAGATACAGACCATGATTTTTAAGTCTTTGGAAGCTCTGTGAGGTAAAACCTTTCTTCAAGCTCTCCCTAGTCCAAGGGAGGCCTGCATTGCCTTTTAGACAATACCTAGTTACAAAGCTCACTTGAAAAATCTTTCCTGCTCTAGTTACCGTACACTGTTACAGACCTCACTGCCATATTTGCTTGTGCATGCTTTCTAAAAGCTATTTTTGTAATAATCTTGCTTATGGTAATTTGTTGGTTTTATTCTTCCACTGTATATTCCACTAACTTTGTTCTTTTTAAGTTAAAAAGAGGAAAATCGGGAGATAACAACAATGTGAACCATGCTGACAGAAAGAACTCAGTATAATGTAACCAGAAATTGCACAACAGTTAATGCTGCATCACTTTTAAAACCATATTTTAAAATAGAGACCTTACTTTGATAAAATATTAGTGTTCTTCATAATTTATATTTTTATAAGCAGATAATTTTATTAACTAGAATGATAAATATGTGCTGATAATAAATTGTGTGCTGAGGGCTGTATTTTAAGATGTATTAGTATTTTATTTTAGGCTAACTTTCTTAGAATCATTCTATTAGTAGATAGGAAGAGTGAAATGCTGCTTTACCATAGCATAGTTTTTCCCTAGGGGAGATAGTGCAAGTCCTTGTTCGTTTCTGAACTGGAATATTTCAGGATATCTGTATGTAGTACTCAAGTAGTGTGTAAGCAGGTTCATTATCTGTCTGCCAGAAAGGGGTTATAATTTTTTAATTGTAATTGTAAATATTTGGGGGCTTATATATGAGTATCCTGTTTCTTCTTCCAATTCTGTTAGAGCGGATGATAAGCAATATAATTACTTTGAAAGATTATTATAACTGAACATTTAACTGAGGAAAATGGACTTCACGGTTTACTTTTTTGTCTAATATTTCTGGGTTTATTTGAAGTTGCAAACATGTTAGTGCTGACAAGTTCATCATGCTGGTTATACCCTTTTGAACTCCTGAGCTCTTCATGGTCTAAATACATTCTGCACTTTTATACTTGTTATCATCTGTTCGCTAGAGGTCTGATTTTCTTATTTTTTAAACTAAGGACAAAAGTATTGTGCAAATATCATTGTATTCCAGAAAGTTTTCTTGTTGCATAGCTTGTTTTTTCTTCAGGAAATGATACTCCAAACCAGTACATTCCACAAACATTGTAAATAGGTCTCTGTACTAGGAGGATGTAAAGATACAGTGCTTCGTTTATGGTTGTACGACCATCTAGTTGTCTGGTTAGTTTGTTGGGTTTTTATTCTTCAACATCTCAGTTGTGTCATGAGTTTCTCCTCTTGGATGTTTATCAGAACAGGGCAAAAATGTGATTGACATTTCATCTCCAAATAAGGTGTTTAGACTTCACAGAATCATAGAGTCAAAGAATGGTGTGAGTTGGAAAGGACCTTAAAGTTCATCTCGTCCCACCCCCCCTGCCATGGGCAGAGACACCTTCCACTAGCCCAGGTTGCTCAAAGCCCCGTCCAACCTGGCCTTGAACACTGCCAGGGAGGGGGCAGCCACAGCTGCTCTGGGCAACCTGTGCCAGTGCCTCACCACTCTCACAGTAAAGAGTTTCTTCATTATCTCTAATCTAAATCTACCCTCTTTCAGTTTATAACTGTTACCCCTCATCCTATCACTACACTCCCTGACAAAGAGTCCCTCCCCATCTTTCCTGCAGGCCCCCTTGAAGTACTGGAAGGCCGCTATAAGGTCTTACTGGAGCCTTCTCTTCTCCAGGCTGAACAACCCCAACTCTCTCAGCCTGTCCTCACAGGGGAGGTGCTCCAGACCCCTGATCATCTTTGTGTCCCTCCTTTGGACTTGCTCCAGCAGGTCCATGTCCTTATACTGTGGGCCCCAGAGCTGGACACAGTACCCAGACTTACGTGAACTCACAAAATTGCATGGGGACTACTTACTGCCTCAGGGACCCGGGTTTGGCTACAGTCTTAGCTATTATATTCATTTTCATGCAAGTCAAATTGAGTTACAGTCAAGCTAAGTGATACCTATTTTCTTTCTTCCACCTTGTTAATACCAGATTTGCTGCTTTTTTGGGCTGATGTAGGACAAAAGAAGTGCACATGGGAAGGGTGCTTTATGTGTCCTGTGAATGTCTGTTGTGCTTTCTTTTTCATCCAAGATCAAGAGCTCCACAATAATGCTTCTAAATTGGTATTTTTCTAATGTTGTTTTGTATGAGTAAAATTACAGCACTTCATAGCTGTTCCTTAACTGAAAAGGAATGACCTGATAGGATCTTCAGTAAAAAAGGCTTAAAAGATTCAGAAAACAATGAAATGGACTTCTGTGCAGGGTGCTATCCACATTTCTATGTGATGTTTTTGGATGCATTAATTTGTTTATGCAGCAACTTAGAGTATGTTATTGAAAATACCACACATGACAAAGGAGAATTGAGTTTCATTACTTGCAGGTAATTATCTCACACTATGTGAAACAGCCTTTTCTTGTCAAGAGCAAAGTAAAAGCGTTAAGCCTATTATAACATCTCTTTTGATGTTTTTGTAGGATGGAATAAAAGATGAATGCTCAGTGCTGAAGGTGCAGCTGAAAGAGAGAGATGAACTCATAGCCCAACTTCGTGAGGAGCTGGTAAGCAGGAGAAGCAATTTTTATTTTTAAAGTTCATTTACATGATAATGTCACTCATACAGACCAGAAACTAAAGAAATACAATTTCACACTAGTTACGGAATACCTAGCCTAAGGCTATGTTAATCATTCAGATAAAACACTGATAACAGTGACTGTACATTTCCAGAGACTTGTCAGCCTCTGAAGTGGCTACTATCTAGATGCACCCCTAGTAGAAGTTTCTTTTAAAAAGATTGTGTTGACAGTTGTCTTGCAGTATCAAAGAGGCAGAGAAGTAGCACAGCACTGTATGCATATGTTAGAAATCTTGAAAGGCCATGCACATGTTCTGATGAATTGTGAATACTTCTCCCATGAGCTGCTTTTCACATCTATAAGATTGCTCAGTAGAAAATAAGATATTTTTTCTCCATAATGTCTTTAATTGTAATAATAAATATTCTTACATTTGCTGAACATTTCTTTAGCATATGAGCTACTAATGCTCGAGTACTACCATTTTAAGGATAGACAGAATACTCTCAAGGGACTGAGCGAGGTAAAATTTGTGGTATAGCAATCAAAAAAACCCTAAACACATGAAAATGCATTTTATTGTGCTTTTAAGAATGTACTAACATAATTTTAAAATTCTGGTTTTGGTGGAACATAATTAAAACATGTATGTCTTCAGTATTTTTTAAATAAAGGAGAGAGATTTTTCTACCTCCTCTCTCACAGAGAACTTAAAGACTGCAGAAGAAAGGATGTAGGGTGAACACATTCAGGAAGATGTTCAGCACATACATTGTTTCCATGGAAGTTGCAGGTGTGCAGGCACCTAAGATTTTCTGTAAGCAATTGGGAGGTGGGTTTGTTTCCTTAATTAGATCTTAATTATCTGATCTGGCTCAGGGGATTTTTGTGCCTTTCTGTCTCATGCCTGGTGGCTGGCTTAGAATTTGGAGAGAATGAATTCAGATCCATCCATTACCGCATCTTTTATACACTAACCAAAAACAGGAGTATACTTTTGCGTCAGCACAAATAGCTAAGTTTCAAGCTGGGAAAAATGTAATGCTGCTCAAGGGTGAAAGATTCCTTTGCTATATTAACATCTGCAAAATAAATACAGGTCATCAATATTCTTTGTTTCATATTTGGCTACATTAAGAAATGATGTATTATGTAATTATTATCTAAAATTAAATGACAAAATGGGACACAGGGAACATCAAGCTTCTGCACAGTCCTGGAGCATTAATTTTATATCAGTCTAGTTCAGAACATATGCTATTTAACTGGTCGACAATTTTGTCAGTGTAAAATTATCCTGTATTGATACAATGAGCTGTAGTTCATTTGCTGTCAGCTGTTGTCAAAGTTCATCTGTATATATGTCAGCTGCAGAAAAAAGTCCCACAGGGAATTTAGTTCTTGTATCTCATAATAGACAGAAAAATACATCTTCCTAAAGTCATGAAATAAGGATTTCCGTATGAGTAAAAGTAAGTATCATGGATTTAATCCATGTTTAACTGACTTCAGTTTTGATACTCCAGGACTTGCAGAAGGAGAATACAGGTGGGAGTCTTGAGACCACGTTTAATCATTTGATATTAAGTTTTGAAAGGACTCAGTATATCTAATTTACTCCTATTGACTAAATAAAGCCAGATTGGGAGATGAACATGACAGAAGCTGGATTTAAGGTTATGAAACTCTGAAACCTACAAAAGTGGGTAGTGGGTGCCCACAGGATTGGAAAAAAGGATTTTTGTGCGTGTGGTGTGTAAGTACAGAGTCAATATGCTAGCTCTGGCCATCTGTGTATTTTTTAATCTCTACTGTGTGTTCTCTGCCATACTACTTATTGGAAAAAAGTTGGGAGTTTTGTTTCTTTAAGGGTGTGGTGTTAGAAGAGCTGCCAGGATTTCTAGAGCAGCTAGAATTAAAGTGACAGGCTAGTAAATGAGCTCACTAAAAACACTTGGAACGTGTGCCAGAACTGAACAGTCTTCTGGAAGCAAAGTGACTGTATTGCTTTGTTAGCATCCATGGGATCACTAAAGTCAAGTCTACTTACTGAAGGACCTCAGCAATCCAACGGGAAGCACCCACTCAGCTTAGGCTTCTCTGAAGTTAGGCATATATGAAGCAGCTCTTTACAACCATGGTTTTGATCTTAAGGATCTAAAAGGCTTCAATATAATTACAGTGAGCCCCTGTTGTTTCCCTGATGCCTAGAACAAGCCTGTATGAGCCTGAGGATGCAACTTGAAATCTTCCAAAGAGCAGCAGGGCTCCGGTCCCTCTGGCTACCGCTTCTTGCACTGCATGTCCAATGTTGTCTTCATGGAGGTGCCCTGGGCCCTGCCACCACGGTGCAACTAAATACTGAGGCCCACCAAAAGATACACCCAGGGTTCCCTCTCTTGTTTGCTCAGGGGATTTTTGCAGGGCCCCAGGTCCTCGGGGCAAGCTCTTGCTGCACTTTTGCCCACTGTCCTGCAGGCTAAGGAAGCCAGTCCAGGTACCAGGTAGTCATCACAATCCCCTTTTTGCATTTCTTTGCCCTCCCAAGGGAGTTTTGTATGCTTTGCTCCTTGTTTCTGAAGTTGCTTTACATTGCTGCGTGCAGTGGACTATTCAGGGAAGGTAAAAGAGTTGTTAAAAATGAAGTAAACTTGAAATGATTAGTAGAAAATGCTGCTAAAACTGTTTTCTTGACTTACATAAAATCAGCCAAAAATTGATGCAAACCATGCTTTAATATTCTGCAAATCCTACAATTATTTATGTATTTCTAAGATAGTAAATATTAAGGAAGTGAATGTTTACAAAAGATAAGTAGAACGCTAATTTTTAGCTAATGAAACTGTATGCTTTTTCACTTAGCTACAATATATTACAGACATAGCATTTGATGGATAACTACCATTTTTGGGTTTGTATCTTAGGGCAACCCATGTTCCATTGTCATTCTGAATATGGAAACATAACAGTTGTAAATACCACCTACCTGTCTTAAAATCGCAGCATCATGATGCTAATTCAGAGATAGTACTTCAACATAAAAATCAATTTGAGTGGTAGTCAGTTTTGTAGTTCTTGAGAGAAGTATATGAAAATCTGTACTTTTCTTGTGGCTTTCTGTTGGATGCTTGCAAGCAGATTTAAAACCCTTGGTTAATTAGTTTTTCTGCAGAACTCTGCAACTAACCTAAAGTGAACTTCAGGTAAACTTTGTCTCTCAGGGAGCTTTTATTTCTTTCTTTTCTCTAGTTTTTCTAGAGTTTTCTAGTAGTCTTCCTCTCTCCACTTCGATTTTTTTTTTAATTTTCAAATACTTTTGGAAAAGTATTTCTACCTCATTTGGGTGCATTGTGAAGGAGACCTTGAACAGAACTGAGGGTGTAAAACATCAGCGGAGTGCAAGCTGTCTTGCTGCAAGGTGATGAAGCTTCAGAGCACCTGCAACTGTTCTCACTCCTATTTGCTATCTAGTTCTTGAAGGGGGAAAAATGTAAATCTTTGAGGAATGAAAATAAGGGTGTAGATGTTCAGGTACAAGACCCAGGTACAAAAGAGAAAATGGAAGGAGCCCTCAACTATCTCTGAGTAAGCAAAGAAGAACTTAGAAAAGTAGTCCCTCACCAATTTTTTTGTTTGTTCTCTGTTTAGTGATAATTTTGAATTGACCCTTTTGGTCACCAGAAGTGTGTCTGTCTGGAGGAATAAATATAGGTATACAGAGCACTGGAATGAATTATTCTATTCTGTCTTTATCTCCTGGAAAATACCTACTTCAGAAATTGGAAGAGAGTTTGGCTTCCAAGATGTCAGGTATCCAAAATGCTATAAAGCTCCTTGGAAATTATGAACCTGAGCCTGAACTTAAAATTTGGGTTCAAAGCATCACTTTGTCTCAAAGGTGTACTCATTCATGAAAATATCCACCTATCCAGAAAATCCAAGAAACAAAGTGAATATATTCTGTGGGGTTTAGTAAAAGGAGTAATTCACTTGCTCTTTTTCTCTTTTTTCAGTTTTCATTGGATACAGAAAGGTAAAGGTGTTTGAAGCCTCAGCTGTCTCCTAGCCCACTTTACCTGCAACTGCATCTTTCTGTACATTTTCCAAATCGATCCTTTCCACTGCAGTGTGAGCACTTTGAACGCCTTTAAGCAGACAGTATTTTCATGGAATAGTGGCAAAAATAACTGAGTACTGCTTACAGTAACATTTATTGTACTGCTGCCATTGGTACAACGGCCTTCATGCTGAAAAATGAGCATTAACAGTATTATCCTTTCAACCTTAATTTCCCTGTGTAACTTGAGTCGTGTGTGTTGTCCTATTGAAATAAAAAATGTAGTGAGGCAGTCTAGGTGGATTCTGAGTCAAACTGGAGGCAAAGTTAGGTCAGAAAATGAATCCCCCTTATAGTACAGCTGTTGGAGATATTTTTCTTCTGTGGTGGTGGCTTTTCATCAAATGTTAGACTTTTTACATTTATGGAATAGCTAGGCACAGTGCTAGCTAAATGAGCTTTACCTCAAGCCTTAGCTATTAATGTTTTACAACTGGATACTCTGGAATCAACTCATAAAAATGTATCTGCTCTTTTTTTTTTTTTTTTTTTTTTTTTTTTTTTTCATCTTTCAAATCGTAAACAAGTTCTACCTCCTTGTATAAAGGGGAGGGGTTGTCCTGTTGTCTTGGTGGTGGTTTTGGTTTTTTTGATTGGTTTTTCTTTTGTTTCTTAAATACAGTGTATTCCTGGAAGGCAGAATGATGGCAAACTTAGCTCTTTTCTGTAGGTTGATTTCAATAATGGGCAATTAGCCAATTGCTGCAGTTTTGAAGTATCATGAAGATGAGTACTTGTTATCCAGCTTTGAAGTATAACAGAAAGCCTGAGATGCACTTGAATCCTGCTGATGAACTGTTTATGAAAGACGCTTGGGTTAAGTGTAAAAATCACCTCAAAATGTAGCTATGCTGATATAGATGCC